ATTTTAAGATATCCGATGACAGTAAGATATTCTTGTTCAGCGACGCTGCTAATTTACTAAGAATACTGAATCACGGCAGCTACACGAAGTTAACCAGGTGGCTTGATAACTGCTACCTATTTGTAGCGGATCTAATCAAAACGAATGTTATATTAATCCAATATGTTGCTGGTGTAGCTAATCCTGCTGATAGTCTTACTAAACCACTGGATCGGGAACCATTCTATATATTCAGATACCTCCTACGGATAATCCCTTTTTTTACTACCAGCACCACCGCCGCGCATCCCGAAAACAATGTTTGAGATACAAAAAATTGCCTATCTAGAAAAGAAATATGATTTCAACACCTCGTTCAACGCTCCCTCGCCTAGGGGGCCGTGTTGAAGCAGTAATACTAGTAGCCTCGGTCACGTGACCCCTACATACCAAACAACCCCTACTTCTACCCTCGCTGCGCAACCCCTAGATAGGAACACAACACACAAAAACAACTCTCTGCCCTTTCTTTGCTTCCTACGAGTAGACGTTCCAACAACAAATAATCACATTCGCTGAAACGACGACAATAAACCCTGTATCCCTCCCGATGTCCTCTGCGGCATTATATATCTTGTATGCATCCGACACAACTGCAACATCATCTGCACTTCCTGGGGCACTGCCGCTCCGTTCTCACGACATCCTTCCACGACCCGCTCGTAGTAGCTCTGCGCCTCAACATGCTTCTGCGCCTCCATGTGCAATTTCCCCAACATAGCCAGCGTACTCTGCACTTCGGGACAGCCCTTCCCCATTCGATTCTCCGCCCATGTTAAGTATCTGCTCAACCATGGCGTGGCCAACTGCGTGTTCGACTGGCCGGGCGTGCCATACAACCCAGCCACGCTGCGTCCCTGCGACGCATACATCACACCCATCAGTGCCACGATGCTCATTGTCTCCGGATGATCTGCGCCCAGCTCCTCCTCTGCATTTGCTAGCCCACGTCGGAACGTCTCCGACGCCGCCGTAATCCCGTCCGGATCAAGCATCTGACTCCCACCCTGTAGCCTCAATGCCCGAATAGCGAGTGGATGGCGCGGACCAAGCAGGTCCGTCAGCTCGCGTGCAATCTGCGTAGCCCCTTGCGCCAGCTGATCTACCTCTCCGCTGAACCGCATGACCATCAGTGCCCTCGTATCATGCGATCGCATTGAGAGCATGTGATCCGCTGTATCAAGAATAGAAGCATACACGCGTATATGGTTAGGTCCCAGTAACTCCCGCAACCGTTCAGTAACCCTCTCCGAAATCTGCACAGCTTCTTGTCGTCGCTCAACAGCGTCATACGCGATCGCCAATCTCCGTCGCGTGTCGAGAGTGTCCAGATCATCTTCCCCGATGGTCATTTGCTGACGGGCCAGGACATTCGCGCATACCGACTCGCCTTCCTGGCCTTTTCCCTGATGGCAGAGGATCTCACCCATGAGACTCTCAGCCTTCATGGCGAGTGGGTGACGCTTATCGAAGACGCGTTGGCTGTTAGATGAGACCCAACCGGCCCATTCAGCGGCTTTGGACAGGTATCCGGACTCGAGGTCAATCGAGGCGAGATGGTACCCTATCTCGAGAGTGCTATGGTGGTCTGGTCCGATGGTGCGCATGTGTTCGTTGAAGATGTCATATTCGAGCTTTCGGGCTTCGTCCCAGCGATAGTTGTTCTTCAACTCGGCAGCCTTGATCGAGCGAGGATCGTTGTCGACGGGGGTGAAGAGAGTGCCAATGACGCGTTTGGTGGTGGGTTGGGGTGTGGGTGCGGCGGGATATGGGATACTGCTGTCTCCTGGCAGGCGCGAAGGGAGAGGGGGGGCTGGATGAGGTGATACGGAAGGTTGTGGGATGTATCCTTGTTCTGTTATGAGAACTTGATCGGCGATTTGTTTGATGTTGCCCTTGATCATTTTATACATCGGGCCGCGGCTGCCCACTTTACACATTTGAGAGTGGTCGGCGTCTAGCTTTAGTCGGGTTTCGCGCTGCCCGGGGAGTCCGAGAACAGCTGATTCCTCGTCGACGACTAACTGTATGCTGTCAGAGTAACATACAAAGAGAGGAGTTGGTATACGCTTACATGGCTAACAGACGCCGGTCCAGCACCGCCCAAGAAGACCTCTTTCCCCTCCACGAAACTGATCACGCGATAGTCCTCCAGCTGGTGCGAGAAACGACTCGTCATCTGTCGCGTGAACAGCGAGTTGTGCTCCAGACAATCGAGCAAATCATTACTGGCGTGTCCTTTCGCGACGAACCGCGCCACCTTTGCTGCGATCTTGCCGAGCTCGACACCTTTGGTACCCCGATGTGGACAGCCGAAGAAGACAAGACCAGATGTATTGTTGCGGATCGAATTGTACTTGGGGTCTTCGTGTGCGTTGAGTAGTGCCTATCTAATCAGTCCAGGTTCTTTGATCCACCAGCAGTGGTGTCACCCTACCTGCTTGATAACCAGCCCGCCCAAACTATGACCGATGAATATGATCTTTGTCGGTCGCACATTCTGTTACACATCAACTACCATTTCTCTCCCCGATATTCAGACAGAAGAACATACCAACTGAGGACTCCGCTCCAAGTCCAGCAAATTCAGCAATGTATTGGCATGGTCTTTGACGCTGGCAGTCGACATGCTCTGAGGGTTTGTAATCGTGGAATTATACCCATAGACGAAGATGCGTGCCTGGGGGATATCCTGAGGGAGGTAGTCCCGCGGCCAGAAGATGCCGTTCTCGTGCGTCCATGTTTCGAAGGGGTGGTTATCTTTGCCTCGAGGGTTTAGGCCGTGAACGAAGACGAAGCTGCGAGGTTAGGCAGGTTGTCCGTTGCCATTATCGTTTCTGGTGTTGAACTCACTCGATCTTGGGCTGCTCCGCAGAGTAGACCTCTTCAAGGAATGGAAACTCATGTCGGGAGGCAGCCTCCATCGCTTGATTGGGATGCTCTTCTATCTATTGAATGCCGCTGTTATGCTGTGTATAGTATCTGATTAGGGTGAAGAAGAGGTGAGGGCGAACACTTCATTTGATGAATGATTGCCAGACTAGAGCCTTGCATCTCCAGCCAATCGGCTATTATTGCCCCAGACATATCTGGATACGATGTCAGGAACGTGAGGTGTGCAGCCTGTTCCTGAAAGTAGTGCAACCACGCGAAGTGAGGCGCCGGTCATGCCGAGGACGAGGTCAGTCATGCGTATCGTGCCCTCCGATAGGACAGGAATACGAGATGCTCATGCAGCTTAGTCTTGGCTCAAGCACAGCCCGTGCCTCTGTCATTCAGGGTCGTTGTCTATCATGTCAATAGGAAGGGTCGTGTATCTACATATGTTTTCATCAAACGCCAGCTGAATGCGATGCTTGAAAGTCCACACCAAGCCTGATCTGCCTCATGCTCACTACCAAGCACCGACGATACCTGCAATAGGAATATCGATGCCGGTGGTGTACGAGCTGCTATCGCTTAGCAGATACACGTAAGCGCCTCCCAGTTCGCGAGGGTCTGCCAGCCGAGGCATTCCTCCGTAGTATTCCATCTTTGTATCCCAGTCGGGGGCGGTTTCCACGTAGTAGGTCATGGCAGTGCGAACAAAACCCGGGGAGATGCTGTTCACGCGGATGCCGTGTTTGCTCCACTCCATCGCCAAGGTGTGACACATGTTGCGCACTATAGAATATTCAGTTAGCCTAATACCAACAAGGTTGAAAGAGAGTAAAATTACTTACCTGCGGCCTTAGTAGCGCCGTAGGGAGCGGACGGGGCAGCCTAGGATCACTTAGCACCACTCTTATCCCCTGTGTGAAGAAAAAATACATACGCGATTCGGACGATAAGAAGTCATACTAGCAGTCATAACAATAGACCCCTTAATCCCCAGCTCGATAAACTTCCGAGCGACAATCTGCGCGCAGAAATATGCGCCGAAAACCTGCTGCCCGTAAGCACCCGCGCGCTGCACGGCGCGACCAAACAAAGTAGAGCAATCCACTCACATTAAGGTTGAACATGCGCTCCAATTCCGGGCGCTCGAATTTGAGCGCCGGCTGATGCTTGGTCATTCCCGCATTAGCCACCAGCCCATCAATCCGTCCGGTTTCCTCCACGATCTGATTGACGGCTTTCTCGATGCTCTCCTCAGAGGTCACGTCGGTTTGGATATATCGGAAATTCGGGTAGCGGGTCTGAAGGGCAATGGTCTCTTCTCCGGGCTCCATGAGATCCATTGAATAGACGAACTTGGCAGAATTGGCTAGACAAACTTCGGCAATGCCGAGGCCGATGCCGCGGTTGGCACCGGTGATGGCAATGACCTTTCGCGCGAGGGTGATCTGCCAGCTGAAGGTTGAGTCGGGCATGGTGTTCACGAAGGGTGTGGAGGTGCCATTCTTGGCTTCTGTGGCGGAGGCAGTATCTGTGGACGTTGGAGACATTGTGATGAGGAGGTAAGGGATTCAGAATAGTGGTTTGCGGAGAGTGTTTGGGACTAATGTTTGGATGTTCAGGCAGCTGAATCTGGGGTTTTTCGGTCCTTTAAACATCCCCCGCGATCGCAAGTGTTCGGCTCGAGGTCAATGGCATCGCGATCGGACTTTACGTCACATTCCCTAACAAATTGGCGCGGATGGACTCCGATTGCCCTCTGGCTGTGCGGGGGTTAACTCCGATACCCCACGGTCGGCGATCGGCCAGCCCTGCGATCGACTGCCTCGACTCGAGGCACTCGCTGACAATTCATCCACTCTTGACAGTTGATAGATTATGTTGGCATGCTGTGCGTGTAACAGTCCGATATCGCGTGCAGTCCGTGCATCGTAGATGGGCTGATTGTTTCGGATACTTTCAGTCGGAAGTGAAAGTAGTTTTCCGAAATATATAGTTGTTACCGAGTACAGTAGTGCTAGTAGTTGTTATGCTGTTATCCAGTAAGGCTCATTCCTTCATTTCTTCGTTTTGTAATACAACTATGATTATGAACATATACTCAATTATAAGGTTTTGACAGACGTTTCGAGGCATATCTTTATGCCTGGAATTGTCGTGGTGATCTCGCCGTGATCGCACGGCTGACGGTCGCGTGGGTGTGAATGCAAGGAAATAACAAAGCTGACAGCCGTGCGTAACGCTTCACCCAATCGCTGTGGCACCTAAGCTGTGTCCATAGGATGATGCCAGTTTTCCCATGAAGTACTAGCAGAACCCGAGGACATCTGTTGTAATACCCAATTCTATGCCGTGACACCAGAAAGCCCATCCTTGCGGTATTCTGCTTCGAGGTCGTTGCGTAATGAGTATCTAGGCCAACAGACTCTATTCTCGAAGACGTCGATTAATTCGAGCAACGCTGCCCGCTCATGAGGGGTATGGACGCTCATGCCAGCTGCACAAAAGGTCAGCAAAAATCATACCAGGACAACGCAGATCATCTTACCCCCATATATGCAATACAGAGACATGAGGCTGGCGGCAAGGTTATCCTCGCGTATAGTTCGAGCAATGCCACAAATTGTGTTCACTGACGTAGTAAGCAGCTTTTGGGCCGCCCGGTAGTCTTGGAAACCGTTCACCGTCGGACGATGTGATAACACCAGAATTCTGGCTAAGCTGTGTATTTGCAATGCCGCTGCGTATGGAGGCGGATGGACCCAAATAGGCGGAAAGAAGGTCGCGTCCTGCTCACACGGGAGTGGATTGAACTCCGGTGGCAGATAATCCTGCCATTCCTGCAACATATAGAGCAGCTCATTCCCCCTCTCCAAGCGACTCTGTATATCTTTAGATGCTGCCTCTTCGCGTGAGGCATAGTTGACGCATTGTCCAAGGATGTATGAAACGAAACTGGCCAGCTCTGGGGGAGACAGCGAGGAGATGTGTCGCTTAGGCTTCCAGAAGCTGAAGATTCGACGACGCTCCCGCATGGCTACCCAGGCGTCCTGCCGTAACCATGCCCACCAGATGGCTTGACGCAAACCCCCACATTCTCCATCGTTGTTTTGGTATCTTTGAATCCAGAATACCCCTTTCAGATGCCGCTCCCAGTCTCGATTAGATCCATCCACCATTTCGTATGTGCTGATCAGAAGCGACGTGCTAATGATCTCGTGGCTGTATGCGTAGCTGGGATACTGCATAGCCTTATTGAGATACTGTAGAGTCTCGTAGTAATACTGGACTGCAATATTGCGATCGACATCTGGAAAATCCATCATTCTTCTTCCATCTTCGCGGTATGGAGTAACCCCCGAACCTTTGTAGGTATGCCAGATGGAAAGATGGCGTGCCGAGAGAGCCAGAAGGGCCTTCATTACACCTATATTTCTCATGGCCAAATGTGGGACCTTGCTTGAAATTTGTAGCGTCGGGTCGAAGAAATCATACCAACTAGACATATTCCGGACAAAGTGTTTGAACATGAGGTGTTCTTGTTGGGATAACTGAATGGGCGCGGAAGTACTCCAAGAAGACGGGTCATCGGGAAGCTTTGGGTGGCCTTCGGCTGCAGGCGAAATCCTGTTCTCGATACCTGGATCACGATCAAAAGAAGCTGCTTGGAAGCTTTGACACTCCCTAGCATTGTGAGGTTGAAGGTTTGCGATCGACAGATGGGTTGTTGATCCCTGGCAAGCGGGGTTGACATCTCGATGCGGTGATGATAGGAAAAAGTTTCGGTCCGCGTTCACGGCATCATTGGCCAGAAGCTCGAACCAACTCAAGGGCGCAAGCCTGGTCGATACCGTCGAATCTGTAGCTGGAGAGGGTGTGAAGTCGTGAATCGAGGCTGAAGGAGAGACATGGCTGTGTTGATGTAGACCAATCTGCGGCGTGCCACTGCTGTGCTGCCCTCTTGGAGATGCCGTAGCCCACGCTCGGTGAGCGGAAGCGTCTTCATGCTCGCAGACATCTACCAAAACTCGCAGGGGCTCGTGTAGCTGCACCTGTGGAGTCAACTGTGATGGAGGAGAGGAGTGCGATGCAATGGGTGTTTGTCTATCCCCTATATTAGGAGTTCCGGATTCATAGCTGCTCCCATAGACACAGTCACGTTGGCCTTTGGCGCAAGGGCCGCATTGTGGGCGAGCCTGCGTCCATGTCAGCAGGAGAATTTTTTGGAAAAGAAGCTTTTGCCGAGCCGTCGTACCTCATCACATTTGACATGTCGGCGCTTGCAAACCAGGCTATGGCAGTCAGCAGGTCTGTCCAGCAGAAGGAATACTAGCAGTAAAGAAACTCGGAAGATTGGTCGACTAACCAGCCAGTAGTGGCCCGCAATCCACGGCCGCGGGATTTGCGAGGTTTCCGAACGCCACGCGAGGTCCCCTGCGTAACATCGGCCATTGTGCCTCACATCATCGGGGTCCTTCGGCTACAGCATGCGAGGATGCGAAGCGAAATGGGAATCAGCCGGATAGGGAGATCGATAGTCGGGGGGTGACAGGTCGCGACGAGGCCCGGATTGACGTTGGTTCGGGAGTGGAGCAAGCGAGAAAAGCCGAAAACTATCCACTGCCGAACTGCCTTTCTGATTCGACAATGGAAACCCACAGAATCACCTCGTAACGAGCACAAGTGTCTACCGCGGGGATTGAACCATGGATGGTTCCTCTGTTGATGAGCATGACTCGCTCTATGCCAGTGTCGACAGGAAGACTGAATAGTAGCCAGAAGTGTACACCGCTGCGGAAGCCGCTAGAATGGAACGCATGAAGGCATCGCAGCGACTGTAGAGTACTCCTGCATAGCCAAGTGGAGCAGTCCATGCCAAATTATATATCGAGCGTATATATAATCTTGGTTGTTAGGTTGCCAAGGAAGGTTCCCTGCTGTAGCACGGCCTCTTCCATCGCTCGATCAGATACTGTTCCTCTTTCACATAACATCACCAACAGCGAGAGAAGTATTGGCCCAAATTTGTCCATTGAGGTGCGCGGCATGCGTATCAAGCGAAGAATCATCAATCGTATATTATGAGTCGATCATAGTGGCATGAGACAGATAGATTCCCAGATCACTTCGAGGACGATGATCTTGGCGGCGGCTGAGACCGGGCGCATGGAAGGAATTGGATACGATATTCAAGGGAAACGGCAATCTGAAGGTGACAATATCCGAACCAGGACGATTTCAGCATCTGAAACTATGTACGGGCATTCTGGCCGCAGGGGGGGGGTAGGTCAGACCGGTGGAGTGACTGTTATTCGCGCCAAGCGTAGCTTAACACCATGCTGTCCAGTTCAACCGGACGTTAGCGCGACTTTATGAGGAAGGTTAATATCTTTGATAGAAATGTAGATATATAATTTTAGCAGGACCGTCGCGATAGTCACCAAGTGTAGGCTAGTCTGAAGCGCCGGGCGGATGTGACTGACTCGCGGTGCTCGGAACGAGTGAATTTCCGTCCCAACTTCTGTCGCACACAAAGGGGTAAACATCGCAAAGTTGGATGGGTGTCAAATTTGCAACATGATGATCAGCTTGACAAAGTGAAACATGCATCGATAGAGTGGTGGAGGAAAGATGAATGTCCTCATTGGTGCTGGGAAAGGATGGGTGGGGAGAAGCAGCGAAGCTTAAACTAAAAGCCGAATGGGAATTGAAGAAAACTAGAGCCTCAGGCAGAGCATCCACGCGATTTGAATCATGTGAGTCATGATTTCACTAACTACCTAACGATATAGCATATCTCGGCCGATTCAATAGCAGCAATCCTATATACAACTTGCGGACCCTCTGGTAGGCAGCATCCATCTTCGCGCCAGCTGATTTGCTTATACCACCGGCCATCCGCTGGAAAAGTCGATCGTGTTCCACCCAAACTGCGCGTCAGAATCGGCATAGCCAATCGTGGTGTTCATGTAGTGGTAGTAGAGAACCGGACCCAGGTTAGGATCATCATACACACCCCTGAACCATCTTAGCATGACTATTGGTGGGGCAGCTGCAGGATCACTTACTGTCCGCCAGGGCCATAAACCTCTCCGTGGCTTTCGAGAACCATCGTGCCCCCGCCGTCCGTGCATGCCGTGCCATCAGCGTCAACCTTGACATCATATTAGCACCGCCTATCTAAGGTTTGCTCTAGATGTCGGATATACTTACGAAATCACCGGTCGGCGAAGTCGAACGGCAGACCTTGATATGATACTCCTCTCCGGAAGCAGGCATGGACGTATCATATCCACAGCAAATACCCGCCGAGTAAAAGAGGTAGTAGTAGTCACCGTACTGGAACATGTATGAGCCTTCCTCTGCATGGGTACCGGACGGGTCATATGCGATATTGTAGGAAGATGAGGCAGCTGCAGTTGGGGTTGACTTCATCGGGACTTGGTAGAGATCATCCCAGAACGACCCAAAGTTGATGTAGTAGGTACCGTCGGCGTAGATCAGGTTGGGGTCGATTGCATTGTAGATCTTAGCAGAAGAAGATTTGATGCCAGTGGAGCCATGATCGGTCCAAGAGTCATATTCCATCGTCTCAGACGTTGCTAGTCCGATTGCGGAGTCTTGGGATCCAAAGGTCGACACGGCGTAGTATACATAATAGAGACCGTCTACATAGGAAACATCCGGGGCCTAGGCAAGTGTCAGATAGGCCGATTATACTGGAGTGAGACATAGTTACCCAAAGATCATCGTTGCCATCCAGATCGATGGACGATCCATCCGGAAGCATAGATCCAACACTGGTCCATGGTCCTTCAATAGATGATGCAGAGACATAGGAGATTTTGTTCCCGGTGGAGAAGAGAAAGTATGTACCGTCTGACTCTCTCCGGATCAAACCGGGGTCGTGGGTGTTACAAACACCCGAGCATGCTCCGGGGTTGGCGTAGCCATGCACGAGGCTGGCCAGCAGAGGGACCGAGGCAATGGATGATAGGAGCTGATACATGGCAATTAAGGCAGGCGCTGTCACCACTGGATGACTTATCCGAAGCATCCAGATCTACTGTTATATATACAACCATCAAGCAACTACCAATCCCACCGGAAGACTACTTCATCGATTCGTGGACAAAGTGGTTGTGTTTTCCGCCTGTCCGGAGCGACCTCCGTGATACTTTGGTCGTTTCATAGAGTTACAAAGCGCATTTTGAAACAGCAATATTCCGGAGGCACCTACCGTTAGTAGCCGATGACCGTGCCTGTAGCATGATTTGGTACATCAGCATGAAACAACTGGTGTGCAGACAACGCTGACACTGGGTGGATAAACTGGCCAACACGTGGATTGTGATGGACAAATCTCTCTATACAAGAGCCATTGTGAGTTACCAGGAGTAATATGATGTCAGTGACAGGGATGAGATGGAGACCAATCCTGCAACATTAGTTGTTCAGGCATCCCTAGCGCGGTCTTGAAGCCCCCCCAAAGTAGCATAACCACACGACATGGGAACCTATAGCTACGCCCCATGTCACTGTCCATTCTGCGGGAGTAGTTTGCGGCCTTAGCCGTACTCTGACACTGGACCATCTGGATCACAGTTTGTTTCTTATCTATCATCAACCGGTGACATTCAGGGGGCAATCAATAACTGTCTCCTGAGGGACCAGAGGTGCGAGTGGCAGAAAGAGAAGAGAAATCTTGTCTCAGCTGCGCCCCTTTCACTCGCGGCTCCTCACGATTGGCCCATGCGAATCTTGGCATAAATTTGCAGAGATTCTGGTCCACATCCCGCCAGCTTGAGGCCATCTGACGGATAGCGCATCCAACATATGCCAAACGTCTCTAACCGTGTAGGAAGCGTAATTCATGCAGGTCCGCAGGTATTAGATGAAATCACTCGCCCTTTGTTGGTGAGCGCACATCTACCACGCCCGAATCTGAGGAAGCTGTGAGAGAGCACACGTCCTTTTCCTGGTGGAGAAGCCAGCGTTAGACCGAAACATACTCCGTAAATGGAAACAACAGAAGTGGGGTTCTTCAGCGATGGGTGGAGCCGTAACCGAGGACTGGAAGGGTCTGTACCAGAACACAGGTATCCCTTTTGAGAAGGTCAAGAGAGAGTCCTTACGGAGATTCCGCGGGCATGATCCAACTCCCGGCCGATACAAAATCACAACCGATTCTTCAGTCATTGTTGTGAGGTTGATGTAGGACGTTGTGTTGAAATGCATCCAAATGCTGACTATTCTTGAAGGCGGAAATTTGCTGCCTGAGGCTTCCCATATTCACCCAACCCAAACCAGGCATTTTAGAACACCAGCTTCAATGCAGTCCTAATCACATCACATCCCTGATCTACACACTGCCATGCCACATCTCTCGGACACCGTCGGATACAACAAGACAGCATAGTCCCCTCACTACTCTAAGCACACGCCCATTATCCTAACCCCACGAACATTGGGCATGCATGACCTGAGCAATGCGGGGAAGGATCCCCAACCCTGCACAGCACATGCATTAGCCGATCAGAACTAATTACTATCCTCACACTATTATAAGGGACTCCGTGCGGAAGTCCGCACGGGGAAGCTGGTCATATGGCCATACTCGGAAGGATTATCTCACGTCTCAGGAAGGGATCTACATCTGATTCGGTCGTGAGTGGCTATCCCACCGGGATGAACATTGCTGACGGGCGCTCTTCACGGGTTGAACCTTGTAGTATCTAGGTGTATTCTTGTATCGGGTAGATAGTAAGACGCGAGCTGGGCCTTGTATTATTTCTGAGTTTGTTGGCTGGTTTCTGTAAAAGCCTTGATGAACCGGAAATATATGTCATTGGACGCGGGAGAAAAGTAAATGTGGTGTACCGAGGTCCTGAAGCCAGAGGTACTAGGTATTGTAGCATTGTCCTGGTACATTGCCTGAAGTCACGGAACCCTTCCACATAGGGCAAAAATCCGGGATGGGTTGCCTTATGGCCCATAAAAAGCGGTTGGATGGGCAGTGCTGTCTGAGCTACTCCCATAATAAGCCAAGAGTGTGCATACTGTCGGAACATACTTCGGTTTAACGAGTTTTTTTTTTTTTTTTTTTTTTTTTTTTTTTTTTTTTTTTTTTAAAAAGTTTTTTTTTTTTTTTTTTTTTCCTTAAATCCAGTGGCGAGACTTCTAATATAGGTGCCAAATGCAATATGACTTTGCTTGGTGGCATGGAACTTTAGAGTTCAGATTTAAGAGTGGCCTGTTGAATTAACAGCTTATTATATAAATCCTCCTGGATTATTGTACCTGTTTAATTGTAATATATCCCTGTATATCCGCAAGAAGGAGAAGAGAAATAAACTACAGTTGACAGCTGGATGGTCATCTACCGGGTTATTGTATGTAGTTGGGGCCCTTGATCTACTACCATTTGATAGTACCATATCTAATTGCTTGAAAACAACGCGAATATCAATTCCACGGCTTGGGGTACATTGGTGCACTATGTCAGCACGTGTTAAATACAGGCCCCTTCCACCATCAATCAACTGCATCGCATATTCGAAGAGTGCGAAGCAAAAACGCGCATTAACCATCTTCACAACACACGAACCAGATCAAGGGCAGCTGCATTTGTAGCAGGGCTTCATCAAGGTGTGGGACAATCTCTGTGGGGTACACTTGAGAAAAGACAGATGCAATATGTCAATGTCCACGCCCAAAGGGCACCACAGCAAAGGAGGGTAGTCACTAGTCCCCGATAAGGCCGCGCTTTTCCCTGCGCCCCATGAAACTAAAGTACCATGTGGGCTCCCCATGTTTCACCCGGCAACCGGTATCCCACTTCTTCAACTCATTATGCTTCCAGTAATCCTCATCTCTGTCACCATCTGACCGTAGATCCTTACTGAGATCCATACAGTCCAAGCAGAGACCATTAAAGTACTCTGCTACTGTTTTGGATGCTCGCAAAACGATAGCGTCCCAAGCTGCGTTACAACGAATGCACGGTCTCACTTTTCCAGACAGAGGGTCCGTAAGCTTTCGCATTTTCGTTGCATCAAACAAACGCAGTCGTTCGAGCATCTGATTAATACTTTCGGCTTTCATGCAGTCTTCCAGCGGCCAGACGTCAATTCTGGCCAGCTGCCGCAAGTATTCAAAGGTAGTGAGTTCCTTACAGGAACACGTCCCATTATTGACCAGATATCCCAGTGTTTCGAATAACCCCTTGTGAAGAATATTTCTAAGCCGACCACGAGCCGCGTTGACCTGCTCTGAAGTTGAAAGTTAGAAGCCCATTGAGAAGTAAGGTAGTCAAGTACTCACGGATGATGCGCGGGGGCAAATGCATCCGCCTAATGTCAGTTGGATTCTTCTCGGTGATGTGACCGATGGACCCATACACCAGCTCCTTGGTGGCAGATTGGAATCCATGGGCATAGTCGAATACGAAGCACGAGTACATCATTTCCCTAGAAAACTCAATGTAATGATCTTTGGTGGTCTGCTTCTGGCTTTCATGCTTCCACCATGTCTCAAACCATGAACTCAGTCTTTTCTGATCAACATTGTACTTATCGCAGGACATTATAACGTGCCACGTCCCAGCAACAGTAACAGAATCGAGAGGCATGTCCTGGAGGGTGCCGTGAAGGCTGCGCAGGAGAACTTCCATGCCCGTGCAGTTGTCCTCCTCCAGGGTAATCTTCTGACTTCCTGACTCGAGCCAGCGCCCGTGACCAAACATTGCTCGAAAGTATTCAGCTTCAAGTAACTTCTCGCGCTCAACTTTCATCAAAACGCATTTTGTTATCTCTTTTTCACCCTTATAATCCCTAGTGTATTCTTTGATGAGGATATCAGTGTCCGCTTTGGGGGAGATGGTTATCTCCTGGACTTCAGGGTCAGAACTCATCTTGTATGTGACTTGGGATACGATGAAGAAGAACGCGAAGAGAAACCAAGATGCAGTAAGATGATTCGGGGTTATGCTCAAGTTGACAGCGAGAAAGAAGATCAGGGAAGATGCTCAGGTGAGCTGGGAGAAGTTGTGGGCGCTGTCAAAGTAGAGTTCGTCAGTGGCAGCGTGTTGCTCTTGCAGGTATTACTCGGTCACGAGACTTGTAGGACGAAGTGAATAAGAGCTTCTAACACCCAGCCTCTCTAGTTGGGAGACCAACATCCCAGTGAGCAGTACACTAGAGAGTACTTGCTCCAAGTGATCTAAAAGTTGTCAACGTCAAGGAAACAGTGCTTGTAGGTAGAAGACCTCTGGTTCAGGGGCGATGGCACTGAGGACGCAACACACGTTTTGGGCATTATATGCCGAGTGAGATCAACTGAAAGTAAGGTGGATATGAGGTAATGTGAGTATAAAAGCACTGCCGGGACTTAAGAGTCCATTGGTACTCAGATCTGGCTACCAGCGATGTTCATCCTCGGATTTGATTCATAGGAAAAGATTAGAGTTTTAGTTTGAAGTTGAGCGTACGGTGCGCATAAGCTATCTCCTAATCCTCCAAAGAAATTGGTTGATGGAATTCAGAGCCTGGTGTGAAGAAGGATATGACAAGGGGTTGAGTAGTGCTGTGAGTCAGGAGCAGTTCTCATCTCCCTTTCTGATCATCTGGCTGGTGAGGAGAAGGCCTATGATGTCCCTTACCGAGCCGTCATCATCATTTATATATTATCTTCTGCAACCTCTCTCTTTCGATACAAAAGATCAGAAACCGTGTGGGTAATTTGTCGGTTCTCCTACAGCTCTCCAGGCCAAATACAACTCAGAAGCCCATCCCTGGGTACCCTCACCCAGTCTTCTTGGGAGCCCTCATTTCTTCCTTCCCAACTCCCAGAGACAAAAGCGTACAGGCCTCTCTTCCTGCTTCAAAGTCAGCGCTCTTCATCCTACTCGCTTGCCGAACAGCTCACACCGGGCCAACAGGGATCACTACCACAAGATCCAGCCATCATGATGGATCGTCGTAAGGCGACCGCCACTGCATCCCAACTAGGTGAGGCCACTCATCCGACTAGGAAGCATTCGATAGAGGGAAACACCTCAAATGATGACAATTCGAAACCCCATGTAGCCAAAAGAGGTAAACGGGACTCTACCGAGAAGGGGCAAGGATCCATCATACGGATGTTCCCTCCACCACACTATTGTTACCAGAACATGCCATCTCTCAAACATTTCACGTCTTTACCTCCTCCCTGTCCAGTGATAGACGACTTGACGGCACCCACCGCAATCATTGGGGTCACTACCAATGAGCTATGGCTCAAACGAGATGACATGTTCTATAACATGAACCATGAAAGCCTGCTGCTTCGTACCGACACAAGAGCCCTATACAGATTAATGAATTTGCAAGGCAGGACGACGAAACCTGAAAACTGCTTGTTCTTACCTCAGTATGCCAGTCATCTTCAACGACTGGACCTCGCCTTTACCATGAGTAACGACTTTGCCACGCAACTCGCCCAGAAGCTCAATCAGGTGCAGGCGGACATGAACAGCTGGCGAGCTGAGCGACGCGGATGGGAAGCGGCTATCCTTGCAGGAAACGGCATGCAGCCATCCATTCTCCAAGGGCTTCTCCAAGCAGAGGAAGAAAAGGAGACGCGGGCTTACTTTCCAGAAGACTTTGCTGGCTACCATCCTGAACACACCGAAGAACACCCCATTTTCCTGCACCCCTTCCACCATAAGAACGAAAAAGGCTCCCTTTGGACGCAGCTGCGCGCCAAGCTAGTTGGGACCGAGGCTTTGTCACTCAAAATCGAGTCCGCCATCCGTGCGGAAAGAGAACGGATCCAGCTATCCATTAAAATGGTTGAGGATGATGTAGTCCAGTTCAAGCGTGAAGAACAAGGACCTTTTCTGCAGACAACTCCCGAGCCCCCGGCTATCCAGGCTCATGTGGCCGAAGATGAAGATTTCTTCGGCGCGTTCGATCCCCCCTCGCCACCTGTAATTGAACGAGACTGGAACCTAGACGAGGAGAATCCCATTCTCCACCGAGAAAGCTTCCTAAAATGGGTGATGGGTCGCTATATGATGTGGAAACCCAAGGAAGTCAAGATTACAACTGCCGAGATTTGTCGAACAATCTTTAATCTACCCAGTATGCCCATTCCTTCCCCATGGCCGTCCTCGATCATGGAACTAACGTTACCCTTGTCACCATGTTTGAGGAACCATACGCCTTGGCAATTTCCTGCATTTGTTCTTCTAGCCTTTCTAAAGGAAAGATCTAAAGTGAATAATTCGGTAACAATCAATACATTGTTCACGAAGGAGGCATTAAGGGCCCTTCGGGAGATGGAAACCGCCTGGCAGAACCTAGACGTCAGTATTCGCTGGGAGCTTCAACAAAACAACAACACAGCAATGGACTGGGTGCCTGATAAGGCTGTCGCACTCCTCAGAACCCTCTTTCTCAGTGACATTCCCGCGTCCGACTTCATGGGCGGCAGCACGCCCGATGCGTAGGACGAGTCTACTAGCCTTCCCTCCTCATAGCCACAAGCTGGTCATATTGTAACTACTCTTCATCATCTCTTTGATACATGAGCAGATATGCGTTCGTCCCCATTGAAGATTGGTCAGGAGACCTCTTCTGACAACCGTTATGAGACTCCTCGCCGCCATCGTGAGGGTTGTACCTAGCTATATAAATCATCATTGGTTTATCCGTACACATGGGCCCTATATCTAGGGTAACCGGATTATTCGGCCAACGAATTAATTGGTATCAATGGAAACTAGCAATCGACCAAGTAACCTATTGTATTGGGGTATTCACCGTAATCTGGCACCACACTGTATCCTCTTCCGCCCAGTCTGCATATATCCATGGCGTCCCTTCCCTTGTTGAGGCTTCTAGGAGTGTGTGACGGACATTGCAGATGTATTGAAAAAAAAAAAAAAAAGAAAAAAAGTAGTCAGACGCTAGAAGTTGATACTCCGACAAGACCTTCTATATCTCAGAACCATAGACAGTATTTCTATTGGCATTGGAGTTTAGCAAGAAAAAGGTCCGACGGAGAAGGGCTGTGTATATTTGACTAGCTCCATCAATTGCTAGCCCGATAGCAAAGCTCGAGCCAAGCATGGCTGCAAGCACATATTACCGAAATGTTGAGTATCTGCAACGTATTCAAAAAATCTGTGATGTGCATGGAGATGCTCAATCAGGCACAGCAGAAGGTGTCAGCGAGTCAGAGAATGGCGCAAGCACCCGTTTGCTCCACCGCCTCCAATAAAACCACCCCGCATCTACTGTAACCCCTCAACAGCCTATCTCAACCTTCACAATGACACTCAATCCTACGTCTTTTACTTCTATTCCCGTTCTTGACTACTCCCAGGCAACATCATCCGAGGAGAAACCCAAGTTCCTCGACAATCTGCGCAATGCCTTGGTTAACGTGGGCTTCTTTTACCTCATCAACGCCCCGATCGCGCCTCGGGTGCGCGACGAGCTGATTGAAAAGACATTCCACATCTTTGATCTGCCACTCGAGAAGAAGCTGGAAATCGAAATGGTCAACAGTAAGCATTTTCTGGGATACTCCAGGCTCGGGGCGGAGACTACAGCCCGTCAAACCGATTATCGAGAACAGTTCGATGTGCGACCGTCGCAACCTCGGAAAATCATTCGGGACTGACGAACGCAGTTTGCGACCGAGCTGCCTCCTCCGCCACCAGATGCACCTCTATACCGTAATATCAGAGGACCGAATCAGGTACATCATGAAGATCCCATGTGTAGAGCATCATTTACTAACAAGCGCAGTGGCCCGATGAGAAAGCCATCCCTGGCTTCCGTCACGCCGTGGAGGCATACCTGGCAGAGATGAGTCCAATTGCCGAGGCATTCAGGATCCTCATCGCAGAAGCGCTGGATTTACTGCCGACAGCACTGCAGCAGTTCTTTGAGAATCCAACGCAGCAAAAGCTAAAACTGATCAAATATCCTCCTCCAACTACTCCATCCGAAGCGCAAGGCGTCGGAGCCCATAAGGATTCTGAGTTCTTGACATTCTTGCTCCAAGCGACACCGCATACCGGACTCGAGGTGCAAAACAAAGCCGGGGAGTGGATCCCCGCGCCGCCAATGCAGGACTCGTTGGTCGTTAATATCGGTCGTGCGCTTGAGGCTATCACGGGTGGAGTCTGCACGGCCACAACGCATCGAGTTAACCTGGAAGCAGAGAATTTTGTTGATGCGCAGGGTGCGCCGCTGGGACCGCGATTTTCGATTCCTGTCTTCCAAGGAATGAGTTTGGATTTGTCGGCGGAGAATATCTCCCTTGAGATCCCGGCGCATATCAAGGATCTGATCAAGGATGATAAAGTCAGGTCAGATGCGGAGGCGACATTCAATAAGATATTCAAGGGACGGGTAGGCGAAGGCACCCTTATACACCGGGTCATGAGTCACCAGGATGTCGGGCGGCGGTGGTATCCGCAGTTGTTGGACTGGGCTTTGGGCGAGTATGAGAAGTAGCAGTGGTATTGGGGGAAGATAAAATGAGCTTGTGCTGTATATAGCTAACAATGAAGAAGGCAAACTACCCTCTCCTTCAACTACGGTTGAACTCCAACGGAATATTTAATAGCTCTAGCATCTTATGCACCGATCGTAATTCACAAATAAAAATTCTTGAACTGAGTAATAGAATTTAATCCACATCGTCTATCCCCTGTTCATCTTCTACATCTACAATATCATCACCCTCGCCCTTCTCATCATTATCAATCTTCGTCTCTTCCTCCAACACAACCGTCAAGCAAATCACCAAATAGACCTCCCCGGTCGCCCGATTCTTCAAGACATACCGCAACACATTATTCTTATCACTGACATATTTCCCAATATGAAAGCTAAACCCGGGAATCCGAATGGCGAACTCTATCTCATGTCAGCCACACATCTAGTCCCATAGCCGCCCCAACTTCATATAGACGATAGCGGAACATACCATTGAAATCCAAATACCCATTCCCAAAATCCGCCGCATACGTCCTCCCTTTCTCAAAGACAAATCCCTTTCTTCTCTCCTCATTCTGAAAATGTGTTCTTCGTGATGACGAGCTGTCAGGAATATCATACTCTTTCCGACCATCCACACCAGATCCGGTGCCCCCTTCTTGGACTATGACATTGTCCTCATCCCCACCATCTTCCTGCTTATCTCCAATCGAGAACTGATTCCACGACGCCAGTCCAGGACTATACAAATACGGCTTATCGGCATATGCGTCACCGTCTAACGACGGGTCAAGTGTGGATTTGACTATCTTCAGCGCCGTGCCAAATCCAGTGGGTAGGTATGAGCGGATCGGATGGTCGAAGTCATTTCCGAAGATGAGGTCGTTGCCGTTTACGTCGTGGGTGAAATTGAGGTTGAAGGTGAGGGAAAAGAGGTTTTGGTTGAATGGGGGTGTCTCGAAGTAGGGGTTTGTTTTGGGGGAGGTTGGTGGGTAGCCTGCATATGATGTGTTAGTAACAGTATTGGTGATTGTGTAGGAGATGCGAGGGTGTAGATACCTGTGTAATCTTTGATGCGGACCCAGAGGTTGCTGGTTAAGTGGTCGCTTTTCAATTGTAGAGGAGATGTGCTATTTACAGTGACGGTTTCGTGGGTTTCTGGTGTGTAGGATGTGCCTGCGGTGACTTTCAGGCGGTGGTTCTGGGGAGGGGCGCTGGAGAACATTTTGGTAGTGACGGAGATGTCGTATGGTTTATTTACACATATGATATGATATTGGAAAGCGTCGATGAGGTTTTTCCAGCTAGCAATAATTCCTGCCTCATACCAGTGGTCTAGAATGTGTTGAGTAGCTCTCTCTATTCTGGAGTCATGAAAACCGTTGGCTACCGGGAATGACGTAGTGCATCTCACTTTAATCCAGATTAGATATGACGCATAGTTATGCAGCCTTAGTCATTCATATTTATGCAGGTCCCCTCTGGAGTAGATTGCGGGTGATCATCTCACCCACCACTCTATCATTGTTACAATGCGAAAGCGTCGCATAATAAAGTCGACAGGCAATGGCTAGAACATCCCCTAATTACTCATCTCAAGATGGCCCTGAAAATCAAGTCATGTCCGACCTGAGTGCAACCCTGTTTTGCACTTCGCCCCAGCCACGGCACCACAGTGACACTATCCTGATATCATACTTACGCGCGAAGTCAATTAGCTAGCCCTGCAACCTTAATATCTTCCGCCAACGCACCTTACAACACTTCTCTCTCTGTTCAAACATCAGAATCGCTTCAATTCTTAACAAAACATAAAAGACGAAATGCAATCCGTTCTACAGCCTATTCTTGGTCCCAAAAAGGAGATTCATGATCTCACCGGCCGTGTCGCCCTTATTACTGGCGGTGCGCTGGGCATCGGGTCAGTTTCTACCAGATTTTATCTTGATATCGACTAACAGTTAGGAATAGGTATGAGATCGCCCGCGCATTTGTCCTCAACGGCGCCAAGGTATACATGACCAACCGCAAGGAAGAGCAAGGCCAGGCTGCGATCGAACAAATCAAGAAAGAAGCCGGCGAGAATGCGCAGATTGAGTGGTTCCCTTGCGACATGGGCAACCTGAACGAAATCAAGCAGGTGTTTGAAGATTTCAAGAAGAAGGAGGATCGACTAGATCTTGTGCGTTCACTCGCAAAATCCTCGGAGATGGCGTAGCTAATATTGTCGACAGCTTATCCTTTCCGCCGGAATCAACGTCAACCAATACGGCGAAACACACGATAACATTGATCGCCATTTCGAGGTCAACTGGCTGGGCCAGTTCTATGTCGTGAATCTGGTGTACCCGTTGCTGAGAAAGACCTCCAAGTTACCGAATACCCCTGCGCCAAGAATCGTTTTCGAAACGTCGGAGCAGCATCGCATGGCGCCTAAGAACGTGCACTTTGCGACGCTGGAGGAGATCAACAATCCTGAGGTCGGGAACCTGGAACTATACGGTCGGACGAAGTTGGCTATCATTCTTGGAGTTAAGTACGGACTGTTGGATCGGGTGATCAAACCTAACAATGATGATATCTACGCGTTGTCTGTGCACCCGGGTGCTGTAAGTATACCAACACTTTCCTTACTAGAGATGGTCGTACTAACATGAGATCAGGTAAACACGGCAATGCAACAACAATGGAAAGACGCATATCCAGGCCTCCTGGGCAAGTTGCTAACAACAGTAATGCTAGCAGCCGGTCGGACACCCGAGCACGGCTCCTTCAGCGCACTATATGCAGCGACAAGCCCCGAGGTCGAAGAGAAGGGCTGGAACGGATACTACTTCAGTGACCCTGCACAGCCCGGAAAGGAGACTGCCCAGGCGTCGGATCCTACATTGGGTGCGGCATTGTGGGACCTGAGTCACAGGATCATCAAGGAGAAGGTTGGCGATGATGCCATTGTCGACTGGAATGCGAGTGCATGAGCAGATGCAATACAGCGATGATTGTATGTTATGATAATGATGAATTCAATTCTAGAATGTAATCGTATGCAAGTTACTTTCCAGTGGGGGTATTACAGTGACGTTTCCAACTACTCTTCTTATTATTCTTCCACATAAGAACCACATAAGAACCATCTCCCTATAATATTTGGCACATGGTTAACTCCTAGGAATACTCTTATCTCCGCCGGATTTAACATCACAAACCCCTCCTCCCATGCGATTCCCCCTCCCGGGGTCTGCATCGAAGAGCGGTCCCGGCCCGTAACCGGCCTCCCAGGCCCACCGGTCTCTGCTTGAGCAATCCCGACCACCACGGGAATTGGTCACTACTTACTATCCCGTAATTACTCGCTAAAAGCCGGGCGGAAGCTATCTCCGGCAATGAGTATCTCTACTCTGGTCTGCGTTTAGATAAACAGATAACCCCTCTTTTTACCTTTTAATCTCATCTCACTCAATTCCACCCAACTCGCCATCCAAGATACACCAACCATTGACCGAAACAATGACCTGCGAAGCCTGCCGCACCATCCCTCCCGTGATATCCTCGGGATACACACCCAAGGGAACTTACACCCAAATCGCCGATCTAAAGACATGTACATCAATCCCCCATCCCATCAATCAATCTACGACCAACCAACCCACTCACCACTTTGAAACTCAATAGATATAACCGGCCCCCCAACAGCCACCACCGGCATCATCGACATCTACGACATCTTCGGCCTGTCGAACCAAACCATCCAGGGTGCAGATCTCCTCGCCGCACGACTCAATGCCCTCGTCCTAGTGCCTGATTTCTTCCACGGCGAGCGTGCAGATCTCGCGTGGTTCCCGCCCGATACGGAGGAGAAGAAGGCTGCGCTGTTTGGGTTTATTAATACGAAGGCGGCGGTCAAGGATAAAGTGGAGGCGTTGTGGAGGGTGGCGGAGGAGGCGAGGGCGAGGTTTGAGGGGGTGAGGAGTTGGGGGGCGGTTGGGTTGTGTTGGGGTGGGAAGGTGAGTATTGTTTTCCTTCTTAATTGGAGGTATATGGGGAAGAAGGGTGATTCTGATGCTGATGATGTGTTGGTAGGTTACTGCGCAGGTTTCGGGGCCCAACTCGCCGTTTGTTGCGACGGGACAGGTGCATCCTGGGTGTGTTTCCATTTTCTATTGGGTTGGTGGATGTGGATGCTAATGAGGGATAGGTTCATGGATGTCGAGGAGGCGAAGAAGTTGACTGTTCCTCATATCGTGCTGGCGTCGAAGGATGAGCCGGTCGAGGCTGTGAAGGGATACGCTGAGGTTATTGCTGGCAATGGCATTGGAGGCGTGGTCGAGACGTATCCGACCATGTGGCATGGCTGGATGGGTGCTCGTGCTCAGTTGGAGACTCCGGAGGGGTTGGCGGAGTATCAGCGGGGGTAAGTTGTCATTCATACTATTACAGAGTAGAAGGAAGGTTATCTGACGATGGTGTAGGTACAATCAGCTGGCTGATTTCTTTGAAAAGTATCTCAAGTCGGAGGCGAAGATCTAGAGGTCTATCAGATTGGTGGAAGGAGAGACAGGGGTGGTATATATATTGTGAATATGTACATCACCCAGTATCATGTTTATGGGGTAGACTTTCTAGACTTATAACGATTCCTGCCATCAATCAGATAAGAAAGCTATATAAATTTCACACATGGTAAAGTTGCTGCCCCGGTAGAAGACTCACCCAGCCGACCGACCCACGTGGTCGGGCGCAGCCGCCAACCAACTCCGACTCCCACGTTATCCCAGAGCAACCATCGTATGATCATGACAGCCTCCCCCTCCATCCTCGTCTTCGGCGTCGGCAGCGTCGGTGCCATCTACCTTCACCAACTGCAACGGGCCGGCTGCACCGTCACCGCCGTCTGTCGCTCCAACTACGACGTCGTTGCCCACCACGGTTTCACCCTGCGCAGTCCCCGCTTCGGCACCGTCACCTATCGTCCCGACCACACCGTTCGCTCCGTGCACGATTGTCCCCGCGATATCCAATACGACTATGTGTTGGTCACAACGAAGGCTTTCCCCGGTCGGACGCCCTCCCTAGCAGACCAGCTTCGACCAGTACTTGAGAACCACCCACACACCGCCATTGTCCTGGCGCAGAATGGTATCGACATCGAGAAGGATATCGCGGACGCGTTTCCCTCCAATCCAGTCATCAGCGGGGTAGTCTATCTGCCCACTGTTCAGACAGAAGCTGGTGTGATCGATCATGCGGAGCCGCTGGATCTCCTAGAACTCGGAACGTATCCAGCTCGCGCGCCGGAGGAACATACACAGGCGGCGAAGAAATTCGTCGAGTTGATGGTCAAAGGAGGTGGGGATGCGGTGCTGTTCGAGGATATACAAGAGGCAAGGTGGGCAAAATTGCTGCTCAACGCGGCATGGAATCCGATCTGTGCGTTGTCATTGTGCACGGATGGCGGGTTTTTGCTCACTTCGGAGCCGTTTGCGCGTGACTTGGCCTGGGGGATTATGATGGAGATTGTGGCGTTGGCGAGGGCGGTTGGGATTGCAGGGGTGGATGAGGAGGCGGCGAAGAAGAGGTTTGCATTGGCGGAGAGGAGGGCCAAGGAAGGGACAGGGAGGGAGATGAGTATGTTGCAGGATGTGAAGATGGGGAGACCATTTGAGGTCGAAGCGATCGTGGGGAATGCCGTTAGACTGGGGAGGAAGTGTGGGGTGTCGATGCCCCGGTTGGAGACGGTGTATGCATTGGCCAAGGGGAGGCTGGATGTGTTAATGGGGTGTAGAGTTTGATGGGAGGCGATCAGTGATATACCCCTTAGACTGTAGATGTAGATTGAATGGTGTGTGCAGGCTGCATGACAGATATCTGAGGCAGCGTGAAAGTGCCTGCTGCTGTGTGAATGCGGCCTTTCACCTGCATACCAGACGCGAGGGGTCTGTTACTCTTTGATAGCAGTGACAGCAGGCAACCACCAGGCTGGACAGTGAATGCACTGCTGCCTCACTCAAATCATCTGGTCAAAGAACGCTCGACCAACAAGAGAACCCTCTTCCACTTCGCAGCCATCATTCTCTCACTACTACCAAACTTCCCACTACCATAAACATCCTCTCACTACTATCGAACCTCTTATAACTACAGCTTACTACTGAAATTACCCTGCCTTAAAATGGACGAATCACCTCCCGACTTCTACGACGTCTACCTCACCGAGCAGCACGGCGTGCGCAACCACCTGGCCATCTTCATCGAAACCATCCCCGACGCGGAACCCTTCTGCAACAGCGGTCGGCTCTACCATGTGGTGGGCACCATTCTGCGCGGCATGGACTACGGCCATCGCAACACTCCTGATCCCGAACTGCTGCCCGGTTATGTGATGGACTCGAAGCGCAAGATTGCCGTGATCGCCAGAGACGACGTGATCCGATTCGAGCGGGAATGTGCCGAGGAAATCCCACCTCCCCCAGCTCAACTGACCCTCAGTGGGAAGCCTTTGAACCGGGCCGTGCCTTTGTATCGCTGCACCGACTGGGTGGAGGACGTGGTGCATTTGGCCCTGGAACTGGGCATCTTCAAGAGAGATGGGAAGGAGGGCGAGTTATACTTTGGAACGGAAGAAGATTGACCAAAGGAGACTAGGGGGGGGGTATCTAATCCAATTGTGTTGGGTGGAATGGAATGCAATACAATTGGGGATGGATGGGGTCTAGAGTGTGTCAAATAAATGGAAAGCAGCGACAGTATCCACCGGGTCTGGAATGAGAATGGCTGATGGCTAGAACAGTGGCTCAACATGTTCTGTTGAAGCAGTAATACTAGTAGCCTCGGTCACGTGACCCCTACATACCAAACAACCCCTACTTCTACCCTCGCTGCGCAACCCCTAGATAGGAACACAACACACAAAAACAACTCTCTGCCCTTTCTTTGCTTCCTACGAGTAGACGTTCCAACATGTTCTGGTACAGGAGGGAAATGCAAAGCAGACAAACAGTGACATTTCCCGCCAACCACGGATAACTGGTCGGATGCAAGTGCCGAGTGGTACAGTTGACTGGTGCCGTTATTCCCGAAATTGAAGCTAGTCCAACAGTAACCCTTACTAGTCTAGTCCGTCAGTCATTTCAAGTTTATTCTGGTTAATCCCTTCCCCTAGTCCATCCATCTCCTGGCTATACTTGGAATCTCTGTAATCTGGCTATAATTATCCCTCATTATAGTCCGATCGATCATATCTGGGGATAATATCCCAGCTCAATCTCCCCTTCCCCAGCTAGTATTCATGATCGAACAGGGCCTGCAACGGCCAGTGCCAAGGGGCGAAGCTTTGTGGTGGGGGCTGATCCGCCGTTGTTTCAGAAGCTCCTTTCCTTCAGGGGAGTCTGGCCCGAGGAATTCTGCTGCATCCTTCACAAATGAAGTGATTTCCCCGTGGAGACGTGTTCCCTCAATATTCTTCCTCAATGTTCATGGCATCCAATCTAGACTATTGCAGCCCTGGACGTGTTCGTGGCCATCTGCGTAGCGACTAGAGCGTCGAACCCCTCCCAATCGGTAGAGGGATCAGCATCTGGCCGGGAATAATATCATTTGCTCGGCGCTTCTCCTCTTTTCTAGTGGGTCAACACACCCCTTTAGTCGGAATTCTTTTCTTCTTGCTCTTCCCGCCAATTTTTATTCACTTTTCCCCGGCCCAAGTCGTGCCAACTTCTGCACCGCCGTTACTTGTCATTCGGCCGCTTCCTTTTCCCTTGCCACAGCATGTAAGTGCCCGTTCCGTGGTACGCCTTCCGAGAGTTCAGGCACAGCCAGGAACACTTCAGAAAACTGAGACAACAATTCCAGGATCCTCTCGTGATTATTGTCATTAGTATGCCTACGGCTCAGCATGTCCAGCCCAGTTGACGAATCCAAAACCCATTTGGGTCCTCCACGACGCGACACCGACCCCTCCAGTGACGACGACCGGCTGGGTAACCGATCGACCAACAATGACGAACGCCCGTTGACCCGCGAAAATCCTCCTCCGCCTGCGGGTGGTAACCAGTGGGGCGTGCTCTTCAAAGCCATCCGCGATGGCACTTCACAGCTCGCCGAAAAACTCGGTCGTGATCCTGACGGCGGTGATGGACTGGATTCGGCCTGGCATCCAGAAGACTACGGATTTCAGGAGGATATCGAGATGAGAGAGATGCTCGCCGAGGAGGAACTCGAGGATGCTGCCTACGCCTCTAAGCTGCAGTCGGTGTTGGGTTCTGATGCCAATAATCTCGTCAAGAACCTAGGCTTGGGTGAGACGCCGTCGCGGACCAACAGCAATGATGAGAACCTGGTCGGAGGTGTGCTCTGGCATTTACTCAGTCATCAGATGGGACATAATCCGGAGGAAATTCATGACGATGGTGCTATCCCAGCATCGACAGAAGACGGACTGGCACCGTTACCTACTGATCTGCGGAAACGTCGCAAGAAGAAGTGGTACGACGAGGATCCAACCAACGACAAAGAGGGGCGGAGGAAGATGAAGGAGGAGCTGTTGACACAAAAGATTGGCTCGCTTCTCACACGCCAGCGCTATATGATCCAGCTGTGTAGCGCACTGATGAAGTTTGGCGCTCCGACGCATCGTCTCGAAGAATACATGCAGATGACGGCCTACCGATTGCGCGTGAACGGTCAATTCATGTACATTCCCGGCTGCATGATTATCTCATTTGACGATCCCCTCACCCGCACTGCGGAGGTCAAGCTGGTCCGGACAAGCCATGGATTGGATCTCGGCCGACTCGGTGACATTCACAACTGCTACAAAAATGTCCTCCATGGCAGATTGTCGCCCGATGAGGCACTCCCGGTGATGGACGATCTTCTTACGCGAAAGAGCCGGATTCATCAGGCATGGTTGTTGGTCTTGCTGTCCGGTTTCGCGAGTGTGGCGGTGGGTCCGTGGGCGTTCAGCGCGCGCCCGGTCGACATGCCCATCATCTTCGTCCTGGGCTGTCTGCTCGGAATATTGCAGTATGTGCTGGCACCACGATCGGCGCTGTATTCGAACGTGTTCGAAGTTACTGTTGCTATGCTCACATCGTTCTTGGCTCGTGCATTTGGCAGCATTTACTACTCCAACGGCGAGCCTATTTTCTGTTTCTCCGCCCTGGCAGAATCATCCATTGCACTGATCCTTCCAGGATACTCCGTGCTGTGTAGCAGTCTGGAATTGCAATCGCATCAGATCGTGGCAGGGTCTATCCGACTGGTCTATACTATCATTTATTCGCTTTTCCTCGGGTACGGCGTGACAGTCGGTCTGACGATCTACGGGCTGATGGACGATAATGCGACCACGGCCACAACCTGCCCTTCACGAGATACCAATATTTACGGCAGCGTATACGTGCAGGAATTCGTGTTTGTGGCTGTTTACTGCGCCTTTGCCGCCATCCTCAACCAGGCCAAATGGAAGCAGCTGCCGATCATGTCCTTCATGGGCGTTGCAGGCTACACAACCTACTACTTTACAGCCAACCACTTGGACAGTCGGTTCGGCAGTACGATTGGGGCGTTTACGATCGGATTGTGTGCCAACTTGTACAGTCGGGTGTGGCATGGACATGCAGCTGCGGCCATTGTGCCCGGCATGTGGACGCTGGTTTCGTCTGGTCTGGCCAGTAGTGGATCGATCATCTCGGGATTGGCATATGCAGAAGCAGTGAAGAACGATACCGTTTCGGATTCCACCACAACCAAAACACAAGAGTCACTGGGGGGTTTGGCGCTGAGTATGGTGCAGACGGCGTTGGGAATCACAGTTGGTCTGTTTCTTTCCGCAATGGTGGTCTATCCAGGTGGAAAACGCAAGGGCGGTTTATTCAGTTTGTGAATATTGCATCGTGTAGATAGCTTACTGAACATACTCTATGATCTATGATCTATGATCTTTATATCTATCAATCACGTCCATAATCCCTCGCCACCTTGCGGTCTTCCAGATTGACACCAAACTGGCGAATAACCAGCCACGCCGGCAGCAGCGAGATGCCCCAGAGGCCAAAGTTGAGATAAGTCCCACCCACAGAAGCCATGATACCGACACTGCTCAACCCATACTACACTCATCAGCACCATCCACAACAGTTCAATCAAAAGCATTGCACTTACCGAAACAGCCTGCACCGCCGACTCCATCCCGCGCAACAACGCACTAATCCGCACCACCTCCTCCTCATCCGCCGCCAAATTGCCCACCACAAAGTACCTATCCCAGTTAGCACAGCACCCAACCCTCACCCAGGCACACTCACAAAAACATATAATTCAGCTGAAACCCAGCAACCCACATCAAATACAACACAAACCCCTTCGCAAACCCCTCATCCACCCAATCAATCCCACTCCTCCCCTCATTGGTATACTGCGTCGTGACCACCGTCGCCCAAACCCACCACCCCCCTTGCAACCCCAACACCACAAAAAACGCCCCCCGACTCCTCGTCTTCAACCCAAACCGCCTCGTACTATCCAAAAACGCCCCCAACACATTCCCACACACCAACGCCAACACGCCCGACAAGAAACTCCCCAGCGCCCGCACCCGCACACTAAACCACAGATCCAGATACGTGAACATCACCGCCTCCGTATACGTCGCCTGCGCAATCAACGGCACAATACACAGGAACTCCTTGCGCAAAAACAACCGCGTCATCGCCTTCACCTCATACCACGCACTATGCGCAATCCGTAACTTCACCTGCATCCCATCCCGTCTCATCACCTTCCCGGGCTCCGTCAACAACAACCCTGCCACCGGCCCCAACGCCTGCAAGGCAATAAACAACCCGAAGACAGCATAACTCACACTCCCCGCTGTATTCCGATGCACGTTCAGTCCCAGATTAATCGCCCCGCCGAGGATCTGGCCCCCGACGCGGAAACTCAGCCAGAGTCCTAAGAACCGGCCTTGGTTCTCTGGCTCC